TAGTCTGCTCTTGGGCCTATGGTATACAAGAAAGGTAACAGAGACAGTGCTACGCTTCAAGCACCTATTATTAGCTCTGTTTTTACTCAAGGTACAAGATACTTATCTTATTTAGGCTGAGTTGACCTGAGACCTATGGATATTTCAAAAATCTAGATCTAAAATAATAAAGTATCGCCGGCGCTGGGATCGATCCCTGGCCTTCGGTATTCGGCTCAGTGGCGCAGCCAGGGGGGATTTTGTGGGTTAAACCTCCCCTCCCCGCAGGACACTGTTACTTACAAAATGTTAAGGACTCAAAATAGAGGTAGCATAATATTAAATTTCGGTACCTAACCAAAACCGCCTCCACAAGAAAATTTTAGGTGCGCTACTAATTCGGCCCAACCGGTAAGTAGAAGATAAGTCAGAAAGGACCAACCTACTAGATGGTAGAATAATTTTTAACAAATAGTAAAAAATTGAATGCAAGGGTGCAGAAAGTTATAATAACTTGAGATAGGCCTATGTTACTGAAACAAAGTCCAAAAATAATTGTTTTTAATCTGGAAAATATTTTTTTAGGTTTTTTGGACCATTTTAAACAAAAAAAGTCTCTTGTCATTTTTCTCTAAAGTTGATAGTTTTCGGGTTATAAGCGATTTAAAGTCTGAAAAATGCGAAAATACGCATTTTTGAGGTTTGAAAACACATATGTAAATTATTATTTTGAGGTTACCAAGTGTCTAAATTAAAGTTTAAACATTCAACTTCAAAATTGTGAAGAGTAATCGGGGCTTATTTTAATTTAGACCGTTGTTTTTTAATTGTTAAGTATGTGTGTACACTCGATTTTTGAGCCGCCGCGGCGGCGCGCGCTACCGTGCGCCTCTATCGTACTTATGCATAGTTTACATATGCTTACAAATAATTATTATTTATTGACTATATATTTATTTATATCAATTGAGTTATAATATAAATTTCGTCTAAAGTCTAATAATAGTTACATAAAATAATTGTACAAAAGATTGTTAAATAACACACTAATATCACTCAGTAAAAGTATCTTTGTTTTCACAAAAATCTAAATCACATCCACATAATGGTACACAGTTGACATAATTTTTCTTGCAGTTGCAAGCATTAGTTTTGCAAGTCTTTTTGCATTTGCACGGTTTCCCAACCCACCACTATCAGACATATAATATCCATATTGTGTAAAATCGAGAGTTTGATAGCGGGAATATATGGCATTTCGCCAAATATATGTTTTAGCGAAACGCTCTTAACAAGTGTTGGTAAAGTGCGTCAGAGGTACAAGGTATATTGGCTAGATTAAATTAAATTTTTCAGTCACACTGTCTTTTCGTCGAAGAGCAGCATTTTGTATTGTTATGTAAAAATCTACTTTAGGTTTTTGCACTAACTTAATATTGTTGATGTTATTACAAAAAATACAAACTAAATTTTCTTCGGTAAGTTTTCATTTAAGAAGAGGTATGGAAAAAGACATTTTAAATCCATTCACAATTTTTTTAATAACACATTAATAATATAATACCCTTTTAATGGGCATTAAACAATAGTCTTCCTAATGATCGTTTAAGTAATAACAAATCAAGTATGAGCGCGCGATTGTGAAACAGGTAAAAACTTGCATTTTTGCGATAGTATATTGTTTTTAAACACCGCGCAATTTAAAATTAAGTTTACTAATATTAATATTTACTGCATTGTATTATTTAAGTAATAATTTAAAAATATTATTTACAATTGATATAAATAAATATATACTCAATAAATAATAGTTATATTGTTCAAATTTGGAAGAAAAAAAAACTATATACGGTTAGTACATTGCGATGATTGATTTATTTAATTAGCCCAATGACAATACTTAATACCTACATAAATAAATTATGGAAAAAACTATGTTAATAAACTTCAAGGATTTGTTCGGGTTTTTTTTGCGTAAGTGTATATGTAAACTATGCATAAGTACGATAGAAGCGCACTCTAGCTCGCCGCGCCGCGGCGGCTGAAAAATCGAGTGTACGCGCATATTTAACAATTAAAAAACAACGGTCTAAATTAAAATAAGCCCCGATTACTCTTCACAATCTTGAAGTTGAATGTTTAAACTTCAATTTAGAGACTTGGTAACCTCAAAAATAATAATTTACATATGTGTTTTCAAGCCTCAAAAATGCGTATTTTCGCGTTTTCAGACTTTAAATCGCTTATAACTCGAAAACTATCAACTTTAGAGAAAAATGACAAGAGACCTTTTTTGTTTAAAATGACCCAAAAAACCTAAAAAAACGTTTTTCAGTTAAAAAAAAATATTTTTGGAATTTGTTTAAAAAAAATTGTTTAAACAATTTCTGCCCAAAAATTTCGCCCGGCACCCTTCAGATTTGTTTAAAGGGGACATTTTTGAACCGGAATCCGCGAAGAAACCGAATCAGAAACATTTTCCCAACGGGAGCGGCCTCACAGCCTGGACTATAAGGTATTATCATTGGTTCTAGTTTTAATTATATTTTTGGAGAAAATCTTTTTTGTATAATTTTTTTGTATCGTTGTTTATGGTTCTAAATTGTGGCTCTAAAAAATATATTGATATATTATAGAAGCTTAATTTTCTTCTTTGCAAAACATGCAATGTAATTTGATGCCTTTACTAGTATTAGTAACTAAGTCAACATCCTTTTATTAAAATTTTTGCCTAAATCCCCATTTTGCGTAAATTTGTTTATCACATATAAAAACATTCAGAAGCATTCTTGATTGTCTCAGCACTATAAGTATTCCGTGTCGCCTATTTCATTATCTTGTTTTTCTGACAATAGTAACAATCATATTAAATCTGCGTTGAATAAACATTAACATTAATAAAACGAAATACATGAAAATAGGTCCGCAACCACAAATACGACGGCCACTTGTTATAGAAAACGACGTCATCGAAGCAGTTAACGAATTTGTATACCTGGGAACGCTCGTCAATACTGAAAATGACATTACCGCAGAGATAAACCGCAGAATTTGCACGGCTAATAGATTCTATTTTGGGCTTAATCTCCTTTTTAAATCTACAGCTATATCAAGAAATACAAAAGTAAAACTGTACAAAACAATAATACGCCCACTCCTGACATATGGTTCAGAAACCTGAACTTTAACAAAAAGCAATGAAAACATGTTAGGATGTTTCGAAAGAATAATACTGAGGCGAATCTATGGAGCGGTAAATGAAAATGGTGTCTAGAGAAGACGATACAACTTCGAACTCTATAGAATATACCAGGAACCAGATATCGTAAAACACATTAAGATAGGACGTCTGATGTGGGTAGGTCATGTAATGCGGATGAAGCAAACCGACCCAGCTAGAAAAACGCTCCTTGATAACATAGACCAAGATATGAGAAATATGGAAATACGTGCTTGGCGGAGGAAGGCGATGGAAAGGGACGACTGTTACCACTTGTTACTTGTGACGATTAGACGACTCTAATTATACTTCTTATTGTTCGATCGTGTAGATTCTAATTTAGTAAACTATGTTATACATACTGTATATTAATGACTATAAATGACTGTAAATGACTATGTATAGGCGGATAACAGAATTTTTAACAAAATGTCATATTATTAGTGCAAATCAGCATGGTTATCAACAGAGAAAATCAACTCAGACTGCGATTTTTCAATTTGTCTGGGATATTTTGAAATGTAGTGAGATTGGTCATATGGCTTTGGGTCTCTTTTGGACCTATCAATGGCTTATGGCTGTTTAGTGCATGACATATTATTTGATAAATTGGAGAAATATGGTATACGTGGACCACCATTGAACTGGTTTAAGTCCTACTTGGCAAATAGGAGACATTTAGTAAAAATACATAAAAACACTGAAATAGGCATCTCATCTGAAAGCACTATCAATATTGGAGTACCACAAGGAAGTGTGATTGGTCCTTTACTGTTTGTGATCTATATCAATGATCTTCATGATCTGGTGGCTAATACTACTTCCAGCATAACAAATTATGCAGATGATACAAACATTTTAGTCAGTGGTAAAGACATGTCTGTTCTAAGCGTTAATGCTAGTTTAGAGTTCCAGAAAGCTAAAGACTGGTTTTCTATGAATAGGTTGGTTTTTAAATCAAAATAAAACAGATCTTCTTTTGTTTAAGACAAATTATGCACATTCAGATATGCCAAACAGTATTATTGTAAATGACACTTTAAATATAAGCAGCAGTACCAAATTTTTAGGATTATATATTGACAGTTTTTTATGTTGGGATAAACATGTTGACCAGTTATGTATGTCTTTGAGTAAAGTGATTTACAGCTTTAGAGTTCTAAAAAAATACATGAATAGTAACTCATTAAAAACAGTGTATCATGCTAATTTTGAAGCAAAATTTAGATATGGTCTAATAAATTTTGGCCACAGTAGGGACATAAATAATGTATTTCTGGTTCAGAAAAAAATAATCAGAGTTATGTTTGACTTAAAAAGTAGGGAATCATATAGAGGGCATTTTAGGAGTAATAATATTTTAACAGTTTACGCTGTATTTATTCAAGAATGCTTACTGTTTCTATATAAAAATAAAATACTCTTTAGGAACTTTGAGCCCAATAGTATAGTAAATACTAGGTTATATAATTATAAAATTCCAATACACAGGTTAAGTATAACAGAAAAAAACGCTCTTTATTGCTGCATCAAATTGTTTAATAAACTGCCTGAACCTATTAAAAGGGAGGAAAGATTAAGTTTGTATAAACATCAAATATTTAAATTACTGGTAGCTCTTGAGCCATATTCTGTGGAGGACTTACTATTTGTATATGTAACGGTTAGGAATAAGTAAATAATATTTTCGTTTGTGACACTGTTTTTTTTAAATAATTTTATGTCCACGGAATGTATATTATTTTCTAAAAATAAAAATATTGTTATTGTTATTGTTATTATTAATGTTCCTCGTTTCCAGGTATAATCATATTTTCTGTGAAAGACCATCATTCATGGAAGATCCGCCATTCAGAGAGCATGCGGGCAGATCCAACAGCAACGACTTTTAGAGTTAATGGTGTCATTATTAACTCCCCGCTGAATTTAGCAAGTATCGCATTAGGTCCACGAGTTCGTATTAGCGAGGAAAAACTTATTGTCGATGACGACAGAGAAGTGTTTTACAGTCCTATATCTAGTCTTAAGATGTACTCTATTAATACCACGGTACTGAAAAACGAACAGAATGGAGCTAATAATGGTGAATACCAGGGAAATGTTAATACAATTGGTATCAAGGGATCACAATCAGCAGGTAATATTTAACATTTTATATAATTTAGTATAGCATATCTATATTTTAGTATATTATATTACATCTTTTGGTATATTTCCAAATAAGTGGAATATATCATACATGTTCTCCATTTTCAAACATAAGGTGACAAAGCAAAAAAAAACAAAAAATGCAACAAATAACTATAGAGAGACTAGTGTTATGCCTTCAATAGTAGAAACATTTTAAGGATATATACAAACACATGGACCGTGTGATAGAAAAGAACAAAGAAAAAATAGTGTGGAACATTATGATCTTTCTCGATAATGAATAATTTCGAAATTGTAGATGCATATTAACAGCATATAAGAATACTGCACTTGATAATTTACAACAAAATAGAAGTACAACTAAGTGAAACACAATTTGGTTTCAGAAACAACCTTGGAACCAGAAAAGCACTCTTCAGTTTGCAGATCATGGTTCAAAGATGTAAGACTATAGAACAATCAGTATATATGTGTTTTATCGACTTCGAAAAGGCCTTTGACCGAGTAAACCCCCGAGACCTCAGTATTATCACAAATTTGTATTGGCAGCAATTTGCAAACATACAAGCTGGATACAACAGGACGAAAGCAGTGGAAATACGACGTGGAGTGAGGCAAGGATGTATTCTATCGCCTCTACTTTTTAATATCTAATCCGAATTTATTTTCAAAGAAGCTTTAGTTGAAGATACAGGCATTAAAATCAACGAAATTAATGTCAACAATCTCAGATATGCAGACGACACGGTACTTATTGCCTCCAATGAAGAAGACCTGCAACGACTTATAAACAGGGTAACCGAAGCATGTGATGAATATGGGCTAAAACTGAATACTTCCAAGACAAAACTTATGGTTGTCAGCAAAACGGAGTTACAACCAACGAACATCAGAGCGTATGGAATAGAGTTAGACAGAGTCCACAATATTACCTATTTGGGTAAAAACATTAACGATAACTGGTATATAAATAAAGAAATAAGAATACTTAGTCTGCAACACCTTCGTCTTTTTTATTTTGCTGAGGTACAATCGACAATAAGTTACGGTATAACTGTCTGGAGTAGTTCTTCTAGTGTAAAGGACGTTTTCAAGGCCCAAAAACATATTGTCAGATGTATAGCAGGTGTTCCGTATGGTTGGTCTTGTAAAAACCTATTTAGAGATTTGAATATATTAACAGTGTATGGAATTTACATTTTGGAATTATTGATACTAATTCATAAAAATAAAAGAACTTTTTTATGTAACAGTGATATTCACTCACACAACACAAGAAATAAGAGAGAGTTTGTAGTACCCTATCGACATTTAGAAATAAGCAGGAAGTCATCTACCATCTGTGGTTTACAACTGTATAATCAACTTCCTCAAAATTTTAAAAACATTAATTCAACTACAGCTTTTAAAAACCAAGTCAAAGAGTACCTAGTGACCATGTGTCCTTATACATATGCAGGCCATTCACGTTCCGACTTGTGGTACGACTAGTGGTCCAACTTCTGCAGTTGGATCTGAAATCGGACCGTGAGTGGGCTAGTTGGATTAGTTGGACAACTAGTGGTACGACTAGTGGGACGACTTGAAGATCCGACTTCCGACTGGCGACGAAGTCGGAGCGTGAATGGTGAAGTTGGAAGTCGGATCACAGGTTGGATCGAAAATTTCCTCAGTCAGTTGACTTTCGGCACCTGTTACGTATGAGATTTCTTTGAAATACTTTACGCAAAGATCTCTAGTTCGCGAATATTTAATAGAAAATAAACTTTCAATTGCACGAAAATTACCTTTTTGTTAGGGCAAATCATTTTCCTTTCTGTAGATCTATTTCGGACATTCCTATACAGGTAAATTTCCGATACTCCGGATTGGCTACGGTAGAATTATCAACAAACAATGAAAATTAAATCATAGTTGTAGCAAAAGATCCCTAGTTCGCAAAAAAATAATAGAAAATAACTTTCAATTGCACGAAAAATTATTCCTATTAAAAATATACGACACACACACAACAAAATAAATCCCAGCTCCAGTTTAAAACAAATAAAATATAGATTTTATACCTATACAAATCTTTAAAAACTATAATTTTTTCCTACATCTTAAAAAGTCATAAAAATCAAGAGTTGAAAAAATTAATTAGTTCAGCCCTAGACAAATAACTAGAGAAACGAAACCTAATTTTTAAACATACATATCATATTATTATATTTTGCGTAGTGTTTATTCGATACAGTTTTTGGTTAAGCGATGCATACCATCGTGAAAACAATCTAGAACTGAAGTTGGACCGCTAAGTTGGATAAAAAGTCGGAGCGTGAGTGGAGAGTGACGAACATCCAACTAGTAGTCCTACTAAGTGGGACCACAAGTCGGAACGTGAATGGCCTGTCTTAGGTGAATATTACGAGGGTGTATCTGTGAATGTCTAAGCTGCAGCATAACCAAATTTATTAATATTTTAATTATATGTCTATATTGTACGTTTTTTAAGTATTTTAATGTCTTAAATATTTTTAATGTATTGTTTTCATTTTTTGTAGTATTTAATATTTATAATTTTAGTTTTGACTTGCTGTAAACCTAGTTGTAACTTACAGTCAAATAAACTATCTATCTATCTATCTATCTATCTATCTATCTATCTAAGCCAGAGCCGCCTTCTATAAAATAAAGAAAATTCTAATTAATAGAGATATTACGTTAAACCTTAAAATTTGATTAATAAGCTGCTACATATTCTCCACATTTCTGTATGGTATGGAGAGGTAGACCCTTACAGAGACATTAATGAAAAAATTAGAGGCCTTTGAGATGTGGATTTATCGACGAGTATTGCGAATAAGTTGGGTTGATCGAATAAGAAATGAAATAGTTTTACATCGAATTAAAAAGAGCACAGAAACAACAAAAACGATAAAAGTTCTAAAGTTACAATATTTCGGTCATGTAATGAAACATCCAGAGAGGTATAACCTATACCTCATAAGACAGGGTAAGATTGCTTAAAGGAGAGGCCCAGGCCGAAGAAGGGCTGGCTCCGAAATCTCCGAGAATAAGACCAAGAGACCACTGCTAATTTATTTAGAACCGCCTTAAACAAAGTTATTATTGCCAATATGATCGCCAACGTTCGATAATTGGACAGGGTACTGGAAGAAGAAGAAGAAATAATATTTATAGTCTGTCGTCCTCATTATTTTCTGAATCCATCTCATCTCCATCTGAATAGTTTCAGAACCTATCTCTACGTTATGTTTAAAGACATAGGACAACCTTAGACAAGGAAGGAGAGCGGAGAGGTAACGTTCATTTAATAAACCTTCGAAAAGTGAAGCCAGTTTCGATGTGACCGCCATGTTTTGGTGCCTCTACGTTGCATATTACTAACTCTCGCAGGGTTATCAGGTCTATTGATTTTTCAGTAGATCTACTGATTTTAACTTCAATTTACCGACTTACTGAAAACTACATCGATGTACTAAAAAATATGTAATCATAAAATCATGTTCAAAAAGTGATCAGTATGTCAGTGTTCAATTATAAATTGTGAAAAAATATATTTATTGATATATATCCATTATTCTCAATCTACCGAAAAAAAAAATAATAAAATATGACTTGGCAACTTTTCTAGTGCCGGTTGGTGCCAGTTTAGACTTCAGTCAATTCCATACGATTAAGCGTCCTCTCTCTTGCCTTGTCTAAGGTCTAAACTGAAGTAAATCTTAAATGAAATAATTGACAATCAGAAATTATATATCGATTAGAAATTTAAATCCATTTGAATAAAATTAGAAAATTTGAATCAAAAGTTAATGATAAAACACAGGAATGAAGAAGAAAAAGAATCTACAATGTATATATTTAATTTGACTGTTTCTTTTCTATCTATCATCTTCATTATCAAGGCCTTTCAGTCCTGATCGAATGTTTGCTGCTCTTACTTAGAGCTAGCAAATTCTCTTATTTCAGTGAATCAAATCGCATTCTTCTTGTTAATTGTCAGAGTTTGTTGTATGACTTGGCTTTCATTACAATATTCTTCCACTTATTTCGATTTTCACTTATTTTTTCTTCTTTCTATATATCACCGCCATCTAAATATCTACGCTGTAATCTCTCTCTTTGTCAATATCAATGTGGATTTACTGTTGAAAAGTCAACTACACATCAAATTCAAGCACATAGGCCGATTCTAGAAGTCACTAGTATATAAGACCGATACACACCATCTCTTCATTGACTTCAAAGCAGACTATGACAGTGTGAAAAAAACTGCATTATATATTGCAATAATAGACTTTGGGATACCACTTAAGTTAGTTAAGTTGACCCAACTAACAATGCAAAACGTAAGCTCATGCGTTAGAATTGAAGAAATCTCTTCGTTCTTTGACATTAATAATGGTCTAAGATAGGGGGACGTGTTGGCGTGTCTCCTCTTTAATATTGCCTTGGAAAAGGCAATTATACAATCGCTGACGATATAGTTATAGTAGGCAGAAGTATGAGAGACATGGTGGAAGGCTTGCGGACGCAGCAAGTGAATTAGGACCTGTGGTAAACGAGGAAAAAAGCAAATATATGTTGGTTTCTAAAAACCCTCGAAATATTCAACAGAAAATTCAAATTAACAACCATACCTTTGAGCAAGTCAAAGAATTTACATATCTTGTAAATCGCTAGTAAACGCAACAAACACGACAAGCGACTAAATAAAAAGACGCATAGCAATAGCAAACAGAACTGTTCACGGTCTCCAGAAACATTTCAAAAATAAAAATATTCGCTCCGTGGGTCTCCTCTCTATTTACAGTCACGTGACACGCTGTCAGATAATTTTTAAATATTTTATTTTGTAGTGCTAATATCCGGATACAATTTTTAGAATTAATTAGTTATCTATTTATAGTGACATTAATAGTTCAACAAAAATATTTTTTGTCGTTAATAAAGATTTCTTAACATAATCTACGAAAGTGAGGTTATATATACATAATTAACCAATGATCAACATCCATGGTACAATGAATATGTTCATTGTACCATGCACAAAAGCGTTCTGATAAAATTTCGAGCAATCGCCACCATGAGCAGGTCAGTCGATTTTGCTTTGACACTTTGTTAACCCTCGGAGCGAATATAACGTGCAGTAAAACCCACGATTATGCCATACAGCTGCATAAATGTCTAAACCGGTTGTACTTCACATACAGTTTACTGTTGACTGAAGGGCCTAACGGGTTTTTGAGTTAATTTATATATTAAATAAACTGTGTAAATAAAAATTATATTCAATTTGATTTATTATTTTTTAGGTATGTTAATGGATAATAAAGGAATCCTGTACTATACTTTGCTGGGTACCAGTAGCATAGCAAAATGGGACATACAAACTCCATTCATGACAAAACAACGTATTATAGCAAGAGACGAGAAATACTTACAATGGCCCAACTCATTCACTTTCGATAAGAGCGGCAATCTTACCATTCTGGTAAATCAACTTAATAAGTTCATCTACGATAGAATAGACATCAACCAGTGGAATTATCGACTTGTGGCATCACATACGGGAGGAGAAAGTTACCTTTACAGCCAAGCCTTCGATTATGACATTACAGCGAAGCAAACTAGTACTACATCAACATCTAACCCAGTTGTAATTCCAGAGCGTGACAGTGAACCCGCTGTAAGTCCAGAACCTACCGCTGAACCCGTCGCAACAATAGTACCTAAACCAGCACCAGAGCCTCAAGCCCAACCTGAACCCACCACACAACCAGAGCCTACAGCAAAACTTGAATCTAAATCAGAACCGGAGGTTAAGGCCGAACCCAAACCTAAGGAGGATCCTGAGCCTAAAGCAGAACCTGAGCCTAAAGCGGAACCTGAACCTCAAGCAGAATCAGTACAGACAAACCAAACGGTAACAACAGAAGAAAATACCAAAGATAAATCATCAGCCTCTACGGCAGTTTCAACTATTATAGGTGTTGTTTTAGCTTGTAGTTTATTCGTTGTATGAGTACATTATTGCATAAAGTGATGTGATACTGTTAAAAACTTTTAAACAGGTGTTACCAATTAGAATAAGTACAAAAGTGGGTTATTGACTGTGAGATTGTTTTGTTTACTATAAGCTTTATTGTCCAATATTCTGTAATATTTTAAGTATAGTAGAAAATAAAGAAAAAATCCAATATACTACCATTCAGTTCAATTACTAGGTGTAATTAAATAGTTTAATTTTTGGCGACTTTTCTTGTTAAACTGCTTAAGGTTTTCCAAATAAGACTTGTAACGTTTAAAACGTTACATTTTTGTTCTTATTAATTTCAAAGTACTTTCCACTATTTTCTGCTCGTACTATTTGATCTTCATTGATAAGTTCTTTTTCCTTTGTCTGTATTCCTATATTTTATTTCAATATTTTCCTATTACAAATAAATCCGCTGATTAATTTCTTAAGTCCCCTCGTAGTCCTACCTTCGCTTACTTTATCGTACAAGAAACAGAAACCCCACTCCTAAATAATTTACTTCTATCAATCCGATCCGACTTAATTTCTTTTTAAAATAAACCAGCAAACGAGAAGGTATTATTAAAAAAATAAGTCCTCGTGGTCAGAAACTTCCAACGGTCTGGGTAAGTTAATACTTTGCTCTTTTTACAACAACATATTTTCATACTTTAATCAAGAACACTTTTAGTTTTTCGTATAATTTTGTGTACGCTAGTACTTAAAAAACTGCTTACAATTTTTATTTTCTTTTTACCTTTGCACCTACTACCTATTGTAATAATAATAATTCAATATAAATCGTATTTATCGCACAACTTTGTCTTTTTCATTTTTCATTTAATAATTTATCTATTAATTACAATTATTAATTTGTGAGTTTTGGCAACATCAGAGAATTCTGGATCGGTATACAGGTCTCAGAGAGAAGAGCTTTCCGCTTGCCAGAATTCTTCTGTTGTTGGACAAAACTCGTGCCATGACGAATTTTGTAGCGGTTTTTGTTTTTCTAGCCATCTTGGTTTTTATTCAAGAGAATCCACCTTGATTTTTATTCAAGAAAATCCACCTTGATTATGATATAAGAAAATTTACGTTGACATGGATTTTTGGTCGAAGAATACGAAAATGGAATTGTTTTTTTTTTAATAAGAAATCCATCTCGATTTTGAAAGTCCGCATGGCTTTGGATTGGAGAGGGATCCACATGGTTTCGGCTTAGCGGCATGGTTTTTGCAGACATTGTATGGTCCGAGTTGAGAAGAGAACAGCAGGAGGATTTCTCATAGAGTAGAGCTAAGTTTCTTTATGTCTTGAGATTTTGTATATAGATCCTTAATTCCCTGTTGTTAGAACCTCAAGTTAATTGTTATTACATTTTGATTTATTAAAATATAAATAAATAAAGATATGTGTTAAAGAAATTATTTTATTAATAATTCCCGATTTCTCAAATTAAGTTAGTTTATGCCGAACATCACCCCTGAGCGGTTTCAATGTGCAATGGGTGAGCTAGCCGTTACAGACTTCTTCTTCTTCTTGACGTGCCTATCCATTACGAATGCTGGATCATGCTAATCTTATCTGCAGCAGCGCGGAAAAGCTGCACAGATGTTGTATTGAACCAGATTCTGAGGTTCTTTGCCGAAGATCTTCTTCCTGGACCTCGCTTTCCAAATATTTTTTCTTTTCTTTCAGGATGGCTTGAAGGAGAGCATATCTGGATTTATTTCGCATATGTCCGAAGAATTGTAACTTTCGAGATTTGATGGTGGTCAGTACCTATCTATCCATCTATCTATCTATCTACATAAGGGTTTTTACAGCTGTCGACGCCTTCCTTCTTTCAGCCAACGTCTCCAGTCCTTTCTGTTCTGCCATTCTCCATCTCTAAGGTCTCGTCTACTTCATCCCTCCATGATCTTCGGGGTACCTCTTTTCCTCCTTCCTATTGGGCTCCAATCCGAAATCTTTGCTAACCACCTTGTATGATCTGTTCTTCTCACATATGTCCATACCAAATTAAACGTTTTTCTTCGATGCAGCTGAGTATGTTTTGTTCTACTGCCATTCTTCGTTTTATCTCCTCATTTCTGATGCGATCTATTTTTGTCACTCTGCAGCTTCTTCTCATGAACTCCATTTCAGTTGCTGTGATTTTGGACCTGTTTATGGTTTGTAAATGTATTGCAAACCATACCATTTTAAAACTAAATGGTACCTGCTATGGTAAACAATAATAATCCAATAAAAGTTTTTAATTCTTCCACAGTCAACTCAACTCCTTCTAGGAGGCAATATAAGACTTCTGTTTTGTGTTTTCAGAGAGAAAGATGGTTACAGCATTTTCGTTAGTGTTTGTAACAATCAGTTCCAGCAAATGTTCATCAAGTAACAATGTAAAAAAATCAATTTTATTGTTACTGTCGAGGTTTGCCAAGAATGATCGACGGCTCCCAAAATTCAAATTTTTGTGTTCTTCTATATCTATGATATCTGCCCACATAGGGGAATTTCTACCAGAAGCAGTAGCACCGGGCATTTCAGCTTCCGGAGTTGTTTGATTTGCTAATTCTTCTGTCAAATGTTCCAATTCATAATCGTCATCAGTACACTACTCATCACTGTTGTCGGAATATTCTTCACAGCTGGATCCTGCAAAACATATATATTCATCCTTTTCTTCAGATTCTAAAATATGTCGAATATAACGAAAAATGTCAACAACAACGTTATTTAAAACAATAACACTACTTAAACACAAAAAACTGACATTTGTCTGTTTACATTATGACGCACACAAGTCCGGCAGTAAGGATGCCAGAAGCCAACTGATATGATATCGTTCTCTGAGACTTTGCTGTCAGCAACCAGCATTACAGATATTTAGTATAATGTTGATTTAACATACCTACCAAATTTTATTCTATTCGGAATATTGCAGGTGTTGCATTGATCGCACATATTTACTATGGCCGCGCTACACCTATAGGTGTATGTGGCAACTCTACAAAACCTTAAAATACACCCATGGGTGTAGTTGGCAATGAACGTGTTAAGCACCAGGGAGATCATCACCCAGTTCTTTGCGTTACTGCTGGACATAGGCCTCCCTAATTTTTGTCCATTGTGCTCCTGAGCAGATAGATCAAGATCCAACACTAATGAGAATAAATAGGAGCCAAGCACCTAGATCTGATGCAATCCTGCTTTCACATGAAATTTATCAGTCTCTCCCACACCTGTTGATGTTGCGTAACACCGGATGGTGTTGCTACCCGCTCATACATGTCTCACAATATTTCAATCATGGTCGGAGGTTAAATTGTTAATTTTCTATTTCTCGAAATTTCGTTTTATTAGAATTAATTGATGTGTAACGTGTAAATAGGTAACGGAAAAGAAGGGCAACATATTGGTCCACATGGATTAGGAGAGAGAAATCAACGCGGAGAAACAATGAGTATCTTTGCAGCTGAGCATGACTTAATCGTGCTAAACACATTTTACAAACTACCGCCTAGACGCCTGTATACGTGGAAATCACCTAGAGAAAACGGAGAAGACGTTATTATTAGAAATCAAATAGACTATATGCTTGTTAACAAAAGATATAGAAATAGTTTCAACAGTGTTAAAACCTACCCAGGCGCTGATATTCAATCTGACCACAATCCTTTAGTGGGCGTGTATAGAACTAAGTTAAAGAAAATACGCGGAAAAACTGTAAAAAAACATGACATGAGAAAACTGAAATGTAGCGAAGTAAAAGAAATAGTCAGCAAAACATTAAATAGAAAATTTAAAGAAATCGATAATACAACGGAAAGCACAGAAGATAAGATAGAATCCCTTAAGAAAACAATAGGCGACATTAAAGACAATTTTATGAAGAACGAAGAAGGTAAGAATAAGACATGGATGACGACAGAGATTCTGCAACTAATGGAAGAAAGAAGGAAAAACAAGAACGATAACTCCATGTATAAAACATTACAGCGAGAGATACAGAGAAAGATCAGAGAAGCCAAACAGAAAGAACTGGAGAAAAAATGCCAAGAAATCGAAATTCTCCAAAGTAAATACGACGACTTCAACGTGCATAAGAAGGTAAGAGAAATTACAGGTAAATGTAAAAACAGAAGAGTAAGTAAACTTGTTAATGACAATGGAGAGATAATCGTGGACAAAGAGAGTATCAATGATACCTGGAAAAATTACATAAGAAATTTATTTTTTGATGAGAGAGAGAACCAGCCCCCAATACCTACGGAAACAGGACTACCTATACTAGTGGCAGAAATAAGAGCAGCCATAATATCACTAAAAGAAGGTAGAGCTCCAGGACCAGACGGAGTACAATCTGAATTTCTTAAACTTCTTGATGATGAATCTTTAAGAGTACTATGTAAAATCTTCAATAATATCTATGACACAGGCAATATCCCAAAAGATTGGCTACTTTCAGAATTTATTACCTTACCAAAGAAACAGGGAGCAAAAAAGTGCGGAGAATATAGGCTAATAAGTCTAATGAGCCATACATTGAAACTTTTTCTTAAAATTATACATCGTAGAATATACAAGCTATGCGAAGAGAGAATACAAGACACACAGTTTGGATTCATGAAAGGCGTAGGTACAAGAGATGCACTGTTTAGTCTACAAGTATTATTTCAAAGATGCAGAGATATGACTTGCGATATTTACACCTGCTTTGTGGACTACCAAAAAGCATTTGATACAGTTCAACACCAAAAAATGATGGATATTCTAACAAAAGCCCAAATGGATGATAAAGATCGGCGTATAATACAAAATTTATACTGGAACCAATCAGCCACAATAAGAACGAATTTTGGAGGTGAACCAACGGAAATGATCGAGATTCTACGAGGCGTTAGACAAGGTTGTATACTTTCACCTATATTATTTAATCTATATTCAGAGGAAATATTTAGTGAAGCCTTGGAAAAATGCGAACATGGAATACTTCTAAATGGAGAACGCCTAAACAACATCCGTTATGCAGACGACACCGTTATTTTTGCAGACAGTTTGAACAGTTTACAGCAACTAATAAACAAAGTAAATGAAGTAAGTGAAAGATTTGGACTTCAAGTAAATATAACAAAAACTAAATTTATGATCATCAGCAAAAATAAAGTTAGAGACGCTCAACT